CTTAAAACACACATACAGGAGGAAGTTTGTTCTATAGAGCCTCCATTGCTAAGAAGAGTCATGGAAAACGTTTTTAAAAGCATTTGCATTTGCAAAACTGAAAATAGAGGCCATTTACGTAATGTGAATTAATGCAAGTAATCAAAATAATATTGCAATATTTATGTTTTGTAAAAAATAAAAGAAATTAAAAAAAAAAGAGTAGGGGAAGTGTTTGTAGCGAGGGCTGGATTTTTTCATGCCCAAAATCAAGGCCCCAGACTGGTCTAAAAATGATGAAACTGATAAGATCACATCTCTATATTACTTTCTAGTTTTACCTTGAAGCGCTCTCTGAATATCCTCTGATAAAATTTAACTCCATAATAAATTGACAACAAACATAGACACTAATTTGATTAACAACTTGTTTAATCTAAGATTGTATTTAACAAATTTATCTAGTTTTACATGATTGATACACTTAAATAAATAACAAAAATGACTTATATTTCTGAGCAAATTTGACAAATAAGTTTACGCGTAAAATGGTAATCCTAAAACAACCGCGATTAAAAACGCTCTGCACCAATCAAAATTTAACAATCTACTCTATGATAAAATAAATTCTTTATAAGAGAAACACACAAATCTCTCTAGATACAAGTAAACTAAATTGCCCTAGGTACAAGATTTGATAGCCTCTTGAAAAATGTAATATATATATATATATATATATATTTTTGTATGTATTTAAGTGCTCCCAGAAGTCCTTACGGTCTTATCATAGAGCACCGCGGGTGAGCATTTAACAGGAAGTCTACGCCTCTTTCCGTACCAATGTCGCTTGTTGGGCTAGAGCTGGCATCGAACCTCGGACCTCTGAGTTCTGAGCCAGAACTCTAACCACTGCGCCACGGCTGCTCAAATATTAACAAACCCGGATTAAGAAAGTTTACTTTAGACCATCAGAATGTGTTTTCCGATTATAACTTGCCGTAGCAACGCTTCATAAAAATCAAAATAGAATTAAAAAAAAAAAAATCAAAATAGAATTAAAAAATAAAAGTTTTAATAACTAAACACCTAACTGAGAAGTAACAAATATATATATATATATATATATATATATATATATATATATATATATATATATATATATATATATATATATATATATATATATATATATATATATATATATGTATATATACATGAATATATATATATATATAAATATATGTAATATATATATATATATATATATATATATATATATATATACATACATATATATATATTTATATATATATATATATATATATATATATATATATATATATATATATATATATATATATATATATATATATATATATATATATATATGAATATACAAAGCCCTCCCGAACGGGGGTGTAGGGGGTGTTCACTCCCCCCCCCCTCCCCTCAAAAAAAAAAAAAAGAAGCTGTCATATAAGCATTTGAGTTAGCACCTTGAGCAAGTTTTGAACTATACTTGGCATATTGTATATATAGAGGGCCCCTTCTTTTGTGTGTGTGTGTGTTTCTAGTTGGCAAAAAATGCACACAACACCCACTTTGGGACGGCCTTGTATATATATATATATATATATATATATATATATATATATATATATATATATATATATATATATATATATATATATATTATATATACATATATATATATATATATATATATTTAAATTTCAAGACGGTTACATTGTGATGTTACAAGTGATGGTCGATCTGACGTCCAATAGAAACTATTATTGAAAATTCGATTTATGACATCCTAAGGGTCAAAATTTGTATTTTAGATAGATTAACAACACAAAGTATTCTAATTACATCTTCCAAAAAAGAAAAAAAAGAAAAAGAATATATATTTCGAAGTTTATATTCAGTTTACTATTGTGACCTTTTACTCAAAGATTACTGTAACTTAGTTTGGGTTTCGTCACTTTTGAAAGATGTAATTTCTGTTTATAAAGGATATCGTGACTTACAAGCTGTGTTTAAAAAGCACGCTTCTTTTTTGTTTTTTCTTACTATATTAACAGAGGGTGAATCACCTCAATTTCCGACATAAATCATTTAGCTTGCAATCTTTACTAAAAAGGTGCTTTTCTTTTTCTCTTAAATTAACAACATTAATGTTAATGGAAACACATTTTCTTTGCGTGTGTGTGTGTCTGTATATATATATATATATATATATATATATATATATATATATATATATATATATATATATATATATATATATATATATAACAATGATAGTATAAAGTTAAAAGAATAGTACAATTCGTTAAGCGAATTCACTATTTGCCTGTTCTTAGTCATACACCGCGTAAAAACCGTTTTTTAGATTTAAGTAAACGTAGCTTAGTATGCAATCGAGAAATTATGATTCTATTAGCTAGCATAACTATTTAATAACTGACTTAAATTTTAAATATAATTAACTAACGGATTTTTAATTTTATATCAAAGGTAAACTGAATAACCCGAGAAAAATTATACTAATTTTCGAATAACAAAAAGATTGACATTACAATAGTACTCTGTTTATCATTTTTCTTATTTCATTTTCTGGTTATAATTTCTAAAAATAGTACTCTCGTTACTTATTTTAAATTATTATTATAATCAATATTATTATTAGAAAAATAGCTGCATTTGTCTAATGATCATAGCATCAATTAAAAAAACAACACTCAAGAGCATTTTTCCAAAGGAAAAAAAAATCACGGATTCTGGAACATGTATTGGTTTTAAAGGAAAATAAATGGGTCCAGTTTTTTTAATTTATCACTAAAAAACTTTTAATAAAAATTACAATTTGAAAATTCAAATTTAACTAAATCTAACATTTATATAAAAGATTCAAAACATTTATATAAAAGATTTATAACATTTATATAAAAGATTTAAAACATTTACAAAAAAACTTATAACTATTTTCTAACATTTATATAAAAAAATCCACTAAAAAAAGACTAAATAGCACTGACACCTGCCGAAGTTAAACAAGAATCCATCATACGCTGTTCACCGCTATATTGGGATTTATTGTTAAAAAAATCATTGTTGGATTCATTGAAGCTATGTGTGCCTTCCCTTAAATTTTGTAGGCCATGATCTGTGGTATCTAACATAATAGATCCTCCGTCTGAACTGATATTTTCGTGCAATCTGCTTGTCTGACTCAAAAATGATTGTTTTTGATTGTTTTCAAGTAATGGAGGAAAAGGTTTTTTCACACAAACGTCAATAAAATATCCACCAACAACATATATTAGTGTAAGAAAAACTATTGCAAAATAAACGCTACTATAAAATTTTAAATAAAAAGTCATTCGACCTGAAGGTGTGTATACTATAGCGTATTTTTGGAAAATATTAACTGAGCTATTTACAGATGGCATAGCCTCAAGCAATGATATTTCACTAGACCCATAAGTAAGATTTGCATAGCAATCTTTATCAGAAATAAAACACATATATTTTGTTTGTGAGACGTCGTAGTAAGTTCGATTAAATTCAAGTATAATAAAAACCTGAGTAAAAAATCGCCATCCAACCGTACTTGAAAATAGCAAGAAGTATATATCGGAACGATTGGCTTTCAATGTGACAGTAATGTAGTTGTTTTTTGAATTACAATGCTGACTAGCACGAATATTTGCATGGTAATCATAGTCTGTAAACAAAATCACCTGACGCCATTGAGTCATTTTTTTTTCACCAAAAAGCAAATAAAACTGCAAATTTAAATCTGCACACACAGATATTTTAACAGTTGTTCCTTTTAACAAATTTAATCCCCAGAACTGATATGTCCACGATGCTATCTGAAAACTACTTCCAAATAAGGAGTGAGATACAACAGATGATATGTTAGGTACAGTTGGAAGTACACGAAGAAGTACATTTTTGGATAAATTTGAATCAACTGAATAAAAGTGAACACCTTTGCTAAAATAGGTTGACACAGGTAAAAGAAGCTGATCACCAGCATTAAGATGTGCAAGCATTTGTGAGTTTGATGAAAGGTATGATCCAATAGATGCATAGATAAGTGCTAATCCAACAATGACAAGAAACAACATTTTCAAAAAATAATTCCTCCATTTTTCTTTGTTATAAGTGTTACTAGTAATAACTTCAAATGAAGATTCTCCTGATTTAACTAGATTTAATGTACTTCCATATTTTTGCATTGTTTAGTAACCAATTTAACCAAAACAAAAGTACATAATTCATCAAATAAATTAAATTGCTAAAAAAAATAACAAAAGTTATTCAAAAATTTAGGGTTATCAGATGTCTGGTTTGTACAGAGAAAAATACAGGGCCGAACATATAAAAAGCAGAATTTCACTGTGCTCTTCTTTGTAAAACCCAGACATCTGGTAACCCAAAATAATTACATAACAAATATGAAATCATCAACAAATTAAAAATAAATTGTTGGGTATAGTTATAAAAACATAGTTATATAAAAAAGACAAGAACTGTTAAATACAGAGTGTTTTTTATTTTCCCATATGTATTATATTGATTATATAAATCAATTTCAAAGGCCTGTCTATTTTTATCTATACCCAATCTATAAATATACCTTAGTTTAAGCTTTACTTTATATTTCTATATCTTGTGTATATTTCTATATTTTGCCCATTTGTGTGTCTATGTATTGTTTACAAAATCTCAATAAAATTGCCTATAAACTATATATAAATATGTATCTATTAATGTAAATTTATGTTAACAAAGTATTAATATGTTTTGCGCACTTTAAAGACTTTAAAACTTGTTGTTTTAAGATACAGATTAAAACTATATATAAAATATAAAATAAAATATTAAACGTCATAATTTAAAACTTTTAATATAAATTGAAAAGTCTAAAAATTTGAAATTAGAATTTTAAATCTTACTAAAATAAATCGTTGAAAACTAAAAAAAGGGATTTAAAAAAAGTTGAATAAAAGCAAACGGTAAAACTTTTAATATAATAAAATAATTAACCACCATGTAGTGTTGATATAAAAGTAATTATATCATTTTCTTGAAGTTTATATTCTAATTCACCAATCAATTCCCAATCGGTGTCATTTACTAGAACTAAAATACCAGGTCGAACAGTTTGATCTTGAATAAAAAGTTCTGGTCGCTCTTTTAAAAGATTATCTTTAATCCAAAATATTAATTTTTGTATGTTCCAAGTAGTGTGCGTAGAGTCAAGTTCAACATTGTGTTCTTTAACATTTTCAAACAGTAGCTCTGCGCCTCCATTAAATTCAACAATAACTTTTAATGTGCCCATATTTAAGCTATAAAACATATATATGTTAGTCTAACAGATACTACAGAGCTGAAATTTAAACTAAAGTGAATTTAAATGTGCTTAAATAAAACAAGTAAAATGAAAATCCTAAAAAAAAAAAACTGAATTTATAGTATACAATATATACTGTACCAGATACATGGTTTATAAGACCAAGTAAATCCTCCATTATGTAAAATTCAGATGGTATAAAAATAGATTTGTTGATTTCTAAACATCAATATCATAATTGTACTCGAAAACAAATTCAACATCTTACCGCGTCGAGTGACAGCTCTTCCGGAACTTTATCTTTATAAAATGACAGACCGTTATTGATGCTAGTGGAAAAAAATAATACCGTAAAAAAAAATAAAAAAAATACCATAAATCGCGGCTAATCCTTATCGGAAAGCATTTAAATAGGGGGTCGCCCATAAATTACGTTACGCAATTTTTGACCGTTATCGAACTTCACCCCCCCCCCTTGTCACAAAATCGTAACACTTAAGAAGCGAGTTTTGAATGTAGTCCAACCCCCTCCCCCCTTATAGCGTGACGTAATTTATGGACGACCCCTTGGATTATATTTCTAAAATTATATTTCTTTCCAAATATTTGGAAAGAAATATAATTTTAAGTTAAGATAATTTGCATTATAGTTACTTATAATCGCAAAAAGCAGTTAATTTTGATAGAACTAAGTTTAAACTACACTTTTGTTCTAGATTTGACAAATTATACTTTATAATTAAGGAGTGAAGTCATTTTTTGTCGCCTTTCCAAATAACCTCGACATCGGGGCAATTCGGAAACGTAGAACTGTATCAATTGTTTTTCATCAAAATATTAGAAGAATTTTTAAAAAATCAAGAAAGAATGATATTAAACTTTATCATTAAGAAGTTTATTTTTACGAATATTTTCCATATAGTTATACTCATATATCTCCAGTCAATATAACTAAAATAAACAAATATCCTAATAAAACAAGGTATACAACAACCAAAAATTTTTGGCAATTGAAGGTTTAGTTTAAAATTTAAATGCTTGATCCTTTTTAAAGAAACTTATCTTCCTTACCAAAAAAATAAAATAAAATGTGCCCACTTCAATTAGATGAGCTTGTTTAACTATTATATCTTTTCTTATAAAATTACTCTGTCTTTTTTTTGGGATAATAACTTTTTTATTCTACAATAGTTTTTCTCAATAAAATTGTCCCCATATATGCTTCATTCGAAACCATTGATGATAACAATAGAGTGTAAGTTTTGTTAATCATTTTTTACAATAATAGTTTCACCAATGCAATATATTTTAGTTTCTTTAAAAGTTTCTAGCTTTTTTGAGCTCTTATAAAGACTTTTAGCAAGGGGTATTGAAATGATGATAATCTTGATTTTTTATTTGGGGATGCAAAAAATTCTTTAGCTATCTCTCCGATAATGTCAAAGAAAACAGTTACATTTTCTGATGTTTTTTTTTTATATAAAGTTTGATTTTCTTTTTAATTTTTATCTTTTTAACAGGACTAACAGGAGATATTTCAAACAAAATATCCTTAGTACTAATTCTTTTTTTTGGTAATAAATTGCATTGATTATATCTGGGAGTTTTTTGAGAATTTTTTTTTTGCAATTGTCATGTCGCATGATTTTTAGCATGTCTATTATTAAATGACTGTCTATTACAATGACTGTGGTAATCTTGAAAATGAATGACCTTTGTTCAAAAGATATATGCCACACCTTTTGAACCAGAAATCATGTTTTATTTAGAGATGTTGTCTTGTGACATTTTTTCCATTAACTGAAACAAAAGATGTGAAAAAGCAGGTTTTGGTAGTTTTTTGTTTCCTTCTGTCATGTGGTTTCCACTCATTAAGTATTAACCTCCAATAATGATTTAAAAAAGCAAAAAAAGCAACATTTAATGGTTGCAGTAAATGAGTTGTCAGTGCCGCCAAGAGGAGGGAGAGAGAAGGAGGCATACGTGCCCCGGGTGCCAAGATGAAAATGAAAAATTTTTTTAATTTTATTTTTTAAGTGTCTAATTTTTTAAGTGTTTAACTTTTAGTTTCAATGTTTTGTGATTTTAAATGATGTTTTTATAGTATAATTTCATGAAATAAATAAAAAGTTTAATTAATTTTCAATGTCGGTTTTCATGTTTAAGGATTATTATGTTTAGTGCAGTGAGTTTGCTTTCAGAAAGAACTTTTTTTGTATATATGCATAATATGAAAGTGACGACGTATTACATTTTGGCATAAAATCTCACGAAACTATTAACTTGAATATTTTAATTTCAATCTATCGAATTGCATCTCAAATGGCAAATCTGCTTATTTAAAAGTGAAATAAGAAAAGAAAAGGAAAAAAAAAAGGAATAAATTATAGATATTTTATAGATATAAAAATTAATAAAAGTAAAAGTAAAACAAGGTTAAAAAATTTAAATAAGTATAGAATAAAAAAACAAAAACAAATAAAAACACAACACAAGCTAAAAGAAAAAAATGTTCGAAAATAACTACAGATTTTTATAACAAGTTTGTTTCAAAAAGATTATAAAAAAAACAAGTAATACATTTAATGTATTACTTTTTTACATTTTTTTTACATTTTTCTTTGTTGATTGAGTTTCTTTTGTTTGCGAAATTTTTTGTTGTTAAAAGTGTTTTGTTTGCGCAATGATTGTTGTTTATTGTGTTGCTGTTGCTTTTTATCTATGTTTATTACTCTTTTTTATTTTGTTTCATATATATGTATGATATTAATCGTTTGGTTTATGGATTAAACATCACAGAGTGAGACTTGATCTCAGCTTATGTTTGAATAAATGAAGAAACTGTTGTAAATATTTTGTATTATTGTATCATATTATCAATATTTTGAACTATGTACATAGTTATACATTGGTTCAACCAGTAATTTTAAGCAGTTAAAAAACATAGAATAAAGATAATAATATACTTGTTCATAAGATATCTTTTTAACAATTTTATTTTTATGATTCTTTATCATTTGATAAAAAATTCCTTCAGCTTTGAAAATAATTTCGTTTTATTGGGGCATTAAAGGTTCTAATTTCGAGCACATATTTTAATTGGTTCCTTATTCCTTCCCCACCTCCTTAATGACTTCGCAAAGTTATATATGTCTTAAATAAAATTAAAGAAAAAATTGAAAATTAGTTTATATTTGTTTATTTCTTTGATAGTTCGTTTCAAATATCCTCAATTGGGTAGTGTTACCAATTGGGTAATGTTACCAATTGGAATAAACTAAATCTGCAGACTTAACTACTATTTGTCCCATATTAAAAACATTTCAAATAATTTTTTAGAAAGTTATTTTTTTTAATTGTAAATATCAAAGTTTGTTTAGTAGAAGGTTGACAATATCATGATCCATAAAAATATTTCGCGGCTCTTAGCCGTGCAAATGCTGTCAAAAGAGCGCAAGATAATGAGAAAAATAAAGATTTGCTGAAAAAATTAGGCTGGTTCACTTTGCTTCACACTCATACAAATAAAGTTAGTATTTATTATTACTGTTAGTTTTAATATTTTGTTTTTAACCTTTTTTTTTTATTCGGAAGTTTAATAAGGTACATGAAAATAGCGACGAAATAGAATTTTTTTTCTATTATAACGAGAGAAGTAGTAACAAAGAGCCTCCGCCGCTTCCTACAAAAGCAAGTGCATTGAATATTGAGAACGAATCAGGTATCTATAAATAATCAAGCAGAGTTTTGAACGCTGCGTAGTTTTTCTCAAGGTTTGTTCATATATTATCTTATCAGGTAGATCAATTGTTATATTTAGGTGAAAGCATATTAAGTGATTGTGAGTCAAATTACTCAACGAACAAACGTACAAGAGAAGTGTATAATTAATTTTATGCTTACTAATGAAAGTGAAAGTTACGACCAACAAAAAACATTTTCGGGTGATTCAGGTATAGGTTCCACAATACTTTTTATGGAAAGTTATGATATTTATTTTTATTTTATATATTTATAACAATTATTGAATTTATATTTAGACGAAACCCTAGAGAATGATCCAGCACTGTGCCCGCCCATTCTCAAGGCGTATGAACGGGCTAAAATCATTCAGAAAGGTCATTCTCTTTTAGTTGATGTATTTCTCCGCGATAGAAAACAAAACAGAGAATTTCAAAAAACTGTTCTTTTCATGACTTTACCCAATGGAGATACAGTTAAAAAGGGTTATCTGGTATGGAGCACAAAAATAAGTTCACTTATTTTGTTTCCCTTGCTCTTTATTTGGGTGCAAAAGTTTTGGATCAGCAGAAGATCGAGGTCTTCTTCTCCGTTGGAATGGTGGACTTAAAGACGACTGGAGAAAGCTGAATGATCGAAATATGACACATTACAACAACCCTGTACACCAAAGCCTTTACATCACCTGGAAGACTTTGATGACAAATCTAACTAATGATAGTGAGATTGATACGGCAATCAAAAAAACGTTAGAGTCTGAGGTAGCGTGGTGGCGTGTAGTATTGCGCTGTATTTTGGGTTTATTATTGTCTCTCTCATCACGAAACATGGCGTTTAGAGGTAAACTTTGTTTTTATTTAGCTATTGATATTTATTGTATAAACAGTCTTTTTTTACAGATTCTTGTATTATTAACAGGTCAAACATCTGCTCTTGGAGAGCAAGAAAGTGGCATTTTTTTTTTTAAATCATGTGTATTTGAAGGGGCACCAACTCAACGCTATGCCACGGACGCCATAAAAGCTCTCGGCGGCCCTGTGAGTAGTTTTAGCTGGAAGACTAAATGAATGTGAAATGAATGTGATACCATACTCTTCAGCATTAACACTTTTTCAGAGAAGTGTGATGATAAATTGTCATCTATGATAATTTCATTTCCTTCTTTGTTTTTATTGAATAATTATTTTTATATAATTATAATAATTATTATATATTTTAATAATTATAAAGAATCAAATCATTCACTTTTGCTTTTATTATAAACAATTTTATCTGGTCCACCTACCACAAAGTATCCCACAAAAGTTACAATTTATAAAAAATGTAAATGGTAAAATAGTACCATTAGCAGTTCCAGCAAAAAAGTATACTTGTTGAGGTTTTGGAAAAATTTAAATTTTTTTTGGATACATAGTGTCTTGTTTAAAAATATATATCTTTCGGCTCCAGTATCATCTCTTAAGTTTGTCTCCTCATAGTTAATGATGCAGTCCAGTGAAACATTTCTCATTTTTTGCTTTGCACGAAATAAAAGAATGTTTATTTCGTGCATAATCTTCTTTATTATAACTG